GTGCAACTTTCCACCAAATTAACTTTTGGTGCCTAGAGTTATCGCCGCGATATGGAATAAACTATGTCGCTCACCGGATGAAAAAGAATTATTGCTTGCATGAAATATTTTGATAAGCTGGCGACATCTTGACCTGGCGAGAGAACACCTGGGCTACACCCAAACAAGCAGGCCCGCCCTTCCGCCAAACGAAGTTGCCAGCTTCGCTTCGCTGCGCCGGCAACTCCGTTCGGCAGGGGCCGGGCCTGCTTGGCCTGCCGGCGGCGATGGTCGGGCCTGCGGCCCGACCATTTCTGTCACGCGATTTGCTGTAGAACATAATCAAATGATGTAACGCGCCTTCGGCCCGTCGCCCTTAAAATTTGCCCCGTAGACACGAGAAAGGGATGTAACGGTGAAATACCGCGACTACAACCCACCCTTCTGCTTAGAAAACGTTTTTTGGGGTGGGGGGAGGGAGTTTCTTACCTCTTTTGCGGTTCTGGGCCTTCTTTTACATTTAATTGTTCACTACAGCAATTGTTAACTTATTATCGTCAAACAAGACCCTCTAGCGCCTAAACGGTTAGAGATAGAGCCAAACGGACGAAATTTTTGCCCATAGGGCTCTACTTTGACAAGTTACCCCTTAGGAGACCAGTCAATATTTTCGGAAATTAATAAATTTATTTTTGGGCCACTTTCGTGAGAGAAACTCCCTCTAGCGCCCAAACGGTAAAAGATAGAGCAAAACGGACGAAATTTTCGCCCGTAGGGTTCTACTTTCACGAGTTACCCTTTAGGAGCTCATAAAAAAAAATATTTTTTCTGACTTATTTGACCTACCCCCTTTTCTTTGATACCCTCTTTCAGCGCCTTAGGGTTGGTTGCCAGGATTTGCCGTAGGCGTTTCGTTTTCTAGGAGTGAACCTTAAGATATCCTGAAAATTTGAAGTCTCTAGCACATCTCCTTCTAGTGGAACAGACAGACAGACACACAGACAGACACACAGACAGACACACAGACAGACAGACACGAGGTCGTTTGCATAAGCCCGCTGGATAGCTTTTTCAAAGCAGAAGGGCGGGCTAAAAAGCGTGTTCTTGTTTCAAGTACAGCAATTTACTTGATTTATGGTGGCCTTGAATTGAGGCCAGTGGGGCTCGATAGCTAAGAGGTAGGTTTAAACGTTACTTGCGCCGTAACGACATCTACAGGAGTCGTCGACGGTACAGGAGGGGTGTAAAGAGGCGTCTAGGAACTCACC